ATTCATGATGTCTTTGTTCTGTTTCTATTTCTCCTTATCTCCCCTAACCCCGTTGCTCTTTCGGTATGCCGTGTGGTTATTGTGTTTAATTTGATATAATTATTGTGCATCGTTCGATTTTTTGGTTTGGGTTTGATTTGTTTTTACCCCTAATTGGTCATTTACTATTTTTAATCACTTCGCTTTTTTCTTTGGCTTTGGCCTTTTATCTATCCGTCTTGTGTTGCTCAGCTCTTTTTATCTTTTATCTTCGTTATATTTTCTCTTCAGGGGTGGTTTCTCTCTTTTCTCTGTGGCTTTCTGGTATTTGTCCTATATTACTTATTTCCCCCCTCACTCTTCTTTCGATATATGTTATGGGACATTTCCTTCTTTCCTTTACCATTCTATTGTTGCATGGCTTGTTTCGGTGGATCGCAGTCCGTTTTTGTTTTTTTAAGTCACAACTCTTCTCTCCATCTTCTTAACATCCCATACACCTTCCTTTTCATGTTCTTTTTATTCGTTGATTCTCGTTATCAAAAAGTTGACCCGACATTTGAGAATAGATAGAAATCGGGGATAGACATCTACGCGCAGAGAGGCATTGAAAATCTTCATTTTTCTCTTCAGTGTTTACATATTTTCAAACAATGGATAGACGGGGTCTGCTTCAAGGAATCTCTTTCTTTTCTTTTCTTTTCTTTTTTTCTTTTTTTTCCTGTTCGCATTCATTCTTGTAGTACGATATTCCATACCATGGGTAGACATTGGCATTCCCCTCCACCTCCGATGATGGTAAATTATAAGTCCCTGACTCCCGATCGATGCCCGCTGTAGCTTTGCTGTTTTGCTGTTTTGCTGTTTTGCTGTTTTGCCCCACGGACACCCGACATTTGGTAGGGTTGGTTATCCGTGCACCAACCAACGACGCACATCTCCGGCCATTCCTGGATAATGGATGGATGGATATTGGCCGGCACCACCCAAGCAAGGGAGGCCTCCAGGCTTCCCCATTCCACCATTCCCCATTCCACCATTCCCCATCCACCATTCCCCATCCGCCATTCCCCATACAATCCCCATCCCTTCCCGGAAGAAATCTCCCGCACACCGCTCCAGGGCCCGCTGCAGTCCAATGTCACATGCATTCGTTCTTTCCCGGCGCTGGTATGACGTCAGCCGCCACTGTACCTGGTTCACGGGCCAGGATGTGGCCAGCAGTATCAAAATACAGCTGCATTACCATCTCAATACGGCCCCACCAGTCGCTGGCCAGTCACAGACCGCGGTGTGTTCACACTGCCCGCTTCCGGAACCAACCATGGGAGGAACCCTTACCCGGGCCCGTACCGTACATACATACCTGGTCGAATGTTCTTTGTTTCTCTCTGAGTTTGTTTTCCTCCTCCTCCACCAACGTCGTCTTCAACTTCATCTTCAACTGCCCTCGTGTCCGGTTCATCCTGTGCTGCGTGCTTTGTTCTCGGTAATCGTATGCAGCTTCAAACAGCGATCTTGCCCGCTAGCTGCAGTGGCTTTCGTGACACAGACGACGCTAGATCCACAACCACTCACATCGCGGAAGGTCATTCATTATTCATCGACGGGGCCCAGAGGGTGCTTGGCTCACTGAATCAATCTGATTTATTCAATCGAGCCCGCACACTTTCTGGGGAGATCCGTCTCTCTGCTTACGCTCGTTCTTAACTTCAACTTCGCTTCGCTGCTGTGGAGAGAATTACCTCCCCGCCTAGCCTCCTGTTCGCCGAAGAGGAAGCCGGAAGGAAAGGGACTACAGTAGGTGCCATCTATAGTTACTTCCTCTGATCTTTTTTGGAACAGCTGCAGCCATCTCAAACATGTTCCCTGCTCTTCCCCCCGCCTTCTCCACCTCCAATTCCTTTGCCATCCTTTTTCCAGTAGGCATATCGAATGAGTTAGGCTAATTGATGACACCTGTACGTTGATTGCTGTGCAGAAGTTATATATATATATATATATATATATATATATATACGCACGAAGAAACCCTCCACTACCCCTCCCCCGTTTTTCTTTTTCAGGAACTGAAACAACGACGAGAGCAAGGGCGAAACAGCTTGATTTTTGAGAGTTGCGCAGCGAATCCATCATACGAAAAACCAAAAAGTCCGAAAGGAAACACGACAAACATGCTTCAAGTAAATATATCATAGCAAAAGATGGCACTTACAGCACCCATTGCCACCTTTTGTGCTGTTTGTTTTTCTATTATTCCCCCTTCTCGCCTTTGTGTTCCTCGAGGAAGCGGCCCTCATTGAGAGTTTGTCCCCTCTTTTCTTTTCTTTTTTTTTTTTTTTTTTTTTTTCTCTTTTGACGGGCCTTGTTTTTGTTTGTGGTTTTCGACTCCTTTGCCATTTTTATATATCCATTTCCCTTTTTGCCTCGGGAAATTTTTACCACGCCTCGGTCAATAAGTCGATCGGAATTTTATATCGTTGAGACGGTAAGGAGGTTAGAGTTTGGCATCCGGATTTCGCTTTCTTAGAGATACGCCGGATACTTTACGGAAGAAAAGACCAGACCATACCCGATACATCATGAAATTCGGCCGGAACCTTGCAAGGAACGTTGTGCCTGAATGGAGCTCGTCATATATCAACTACAAAGGCTTGAAAAAGCTGATCAAATCGGAAATTGAGGCGCAGAATGAGGGCCATGATCCAGACCTGGCTGGTGGGTTGATCTTGCATCTCATCTTGCCAATGTACCCAATCAACTAGTGTGAGGCTCTTATCCATGTACTAAGACTTTTTTTTCTGTTGTTTTTGTTTTTGTTTTTATTCCACAGGATTCTTCTACTCCCTCGACCGTAACTTGGAAGACGTCGACCACTTCTACAACAAAAAATTCGCAGACTTCTCTCGCCGCCTGAAACTGTTGGAGGACCGTTATGGCCATACAGCCATTGGCTCGCAGAACCTCGATTTTGAAGACGCTGAGGACCTCCTTGCTGCACTTCTCGAACTGCGTGGCCAGCTTAGGAAATTGCAGTGGTATGGCGAGGTCAATCGTCGCGGCTTCATCAAAATTACGAAGAAACTTGATAGGAGGCTACCCGGTGCGCAAGCGCAGAGGCGATATCTGCCAACCAAGGTTGACCCGTCCCCCTTTGCTACGAATGCGGGTTTACAGGAGTCTCTAAAAACAATCAATGATTGGTTATCTGTGTTGGGAGATGAAAAGGGCTTTGACGATGCGAGCTCCACGCACTCCTCTCGATCCGTGGTAAAACCTACTTCGCGACCAATCCTCAAGCTGCCGCAAAGCCTTCTTCTAGCTCTTGACGATGCATTGCGCAAAGATGATACCCACATTATGTTGGAGCTGCTTCCCACGTTGCGGCTTGCGGCGGAGGAATTAGACTCAAGTCTCTATTCAAAAGCTTTGAAAGCTCTATTACAGCGTGCGATTTTCTATCGTGCCAGGGATTCCGTAGTGTCATTGTTAGCGAAGCTCGATACGCTGGATGAAGATGACGACATAAATAGACGAAATTGCATCCATCGACTTGTCATCTCCATTGGGCGCTCGCAGTCAACGAGCGATTCGGAGCTCTCTGCCGGTCAAGTACTCGACTTCCCAAACGAGGCTTCTAACTACATAACCCCGGCTGCTCCACCGACCCTCCAATACCCGCGCGTTGTAGTGAAGGAGTCCGGGCGGATGCCTTTACTAAGTAGGATGGACGATGCTGTTTCATTATTGGAGCACCTCCTGGACAATCTCCGTCCGGAACAAAGAGCTGCGCTGCTGGCCAAGGATATCTCTGGTCGAACTCCACTCCATTACGCAGCTCAGTATGGATTCCGTGTGGTATGTGATGTTATCATTGAACATCTACAAGCATGGAACATGTTCGATGTTTCTCAGGGCATTGATGGCCCAAACTGGCAGGATGACGAGGGTTGGGCGCCTTTGCATCTCAGTGTCATTGAAGGCCATCCCCTGACTACTCGAGCGTTGCTGAATGCGGAGAACTGGAAGGGAACAAACGAGCAACAAACTGCGATCCGGAAGCATATGTCGAAGTCGAGTGCTGTGCTCGCGCTCGCTACCAAGGCGAATTTCGTAGACATTGTCCAGCTCCTCGTGGACGCTGGTGTAGATATCAATTACCAGGACGAGCAGGGTGAAACCGCCCTCCACGTTGCCGCTAGGCTTGGCCACGATGCGTGCGCCAAGGCACTTCTAGACGGCTCGTACGATCAAAAGGCCAATACTGAGCTCGCGGAGCATACATATTCCTGGACTCCGCTGTTCATCGCCTGTGTCGATGGGAGTTTGGGCGTGGTGGAGCTTCTAATCAATGCAGGCGCTGATCTAGAACGTCCTGACTCCTCCGGTTGGACTGCTAAAGAACATGCTGCTCTTAGGGGCCATATGGCTATCGCTCGACGGCTGGCAGAAGCTACTCCCCCAATCGAGATCTCGAGTGATTCAGATCCCTCCACCCCACCAGCTCGTTCTTTATCCCCTCCCACACAAGCCTCGTTAGCAGATCGAAAATCCGCAGCTCGCACGACAGAGCTCGTCAAAACCTTTGGTCATCGCTATCTAACCGACGATAGCATGATTCTGGTCAGCCTGGGGACAATGGACATGCGGAAATCACTACACGCTGTAACCTCGATGT